TTGAGGAAGATTTTTTTTCCACCAGCATATCTTTCACACTGTTTTCATCTTTTCCACATTGGAGTAGAAAGTGTGTTTGTGTTTCAAACTGCCCATATCTCTGGCTAGTTCCACAGTAAATCTTTTCTGGCATCAGATTGTGTTGCACTACTAAATTTTGTCTTTGTCTTACACGTTCAGTGTGAACATTGTAATTTTTTATGGTAAAGCCTAAAAAAGGGGCTATTAGTATTTCTTCCATAATCCAGTAGCTATGAATGGGGGGAATATCACACTGCAAATAGCAACCAAGCTTGTCTGTGGTCCTTAAACAGCATCTCCTTGTGCCATGGTTGGAGACAGTGTGGATCTAAATGGATTGTTGTAGATCCCTTACAATTAAAGTACTCTTTCCTATTGGTCTGACCCTTTAGAGTAGCTGTCAGCTTCTCTGTACTCACTAAGCCAAGAGATACCAAACTTGGAAAAATGCCAGTCTGTCTTAGTGCCAGATACTGCCTCTTTGAATATTGGCCTTTTGAAATGCACTTGTGCTTTTAAAGAATATTTGAAATTCAGATGAAATACAAAATATCTATTCACACGTTTGGTAATTCTTATAGTTTTGACTTCAAGTAAGTGACTATGGGATCTGTACTGTTTTCAGTTCTTTAAAAGTGTTAAAATAAAAGTGGTTTTAATTAAAAGTGTTGGGTTTTATTTATCAATAGTTAAGTGGCTTAGATCTTGGATACTTGCTCACCACTTCTTTGCCTCCACGATGTAGGAGCATTTGAATTTTACTAAGTCTCTTGAATAAACATTTTCTTAATTTGTGAGGAAGGCGTTCAGTGGCTGGCTTACCCAGCTGGGAATCATCAGCTCTGAGACTTTATGCTTGTTACTGAATCAGAATTTTATCACTTTTGCAAAATGAATTTTTGCTGTGCTGCTTCTGTCATGGTGAATGCAATAATTTAAAACGGAGACCGGAGTCTAGCATTTGCATGATCTTTGTGCATGTATCCTGGCATGTAATAGTCTAATTGGAAAAAGATTAATTACTAATTAGTGAAGGGAAAATTAGCAGACTGGGGTGAGATGATATTGAATCTTCTGTTCTGTTGATTTTTGTGGTCTTATGGCTCCACAGTGAGTCAGTAGAAGCAGAGTGAAATATCATATGCTGAGAATATTTCCTCCCTCACTTGCCCTCATGCCTCTCAGTAAAAGACACGGGTTAAAGTACAAGCAAGAAAGCCAGCATTTTACTCATAGCACAGAGCCAGACTTCATTCTGAGATTCAGTTCCCATCTCTTCTGAATCTGGAATGTAAGAAAAGAAAAGTATTAGCTTTTCTCATAGCTAATATGCTAGGATATTTATGTAACTTGCTAAAATGTGCTAGGAGAAAAATGAGCTTGGTCACAAAAATGGGTATAGGTCTAAAAGGTATCAAAAAATCCCAAGTGCAGCTCCAGTGATGTTAATGAGTAGGTGCTTTAAGATTTTTTCTTTCACTTGTCTTACTAAAATATTAGTGGTTTTGCAAGGCTGTTCTTAAACTTTTAACTGAGAAAATACTGTCATTAACACAACTAATAGCAACATACTCCGTCCTTTATAACTACAGCCATGTGAATTACTGTTGCTCTTTATGACTGAACTTCTAACCATCAGCAAGAATTCTGACTGAAATATGCAGCTTCGAATTAAAGAGTACATGAAAGCTTCTGATAGATTTTAGTTGTACAACCTTGACTTGCCTCTATTGTGCAGATGCATAACAACATGGCACTATTCTTACTTTCTTTATAGCATCATTGTTTCCTTCTTTTTTTCTTTCTGAAAATAAGCATGTAGTGGATGAGGCGTATTTCCATAAGTTACTGGAAGAGCTAATGGAGACAGGGAACTGCAGGAAGAGAGGAACAGTCCTAGCAGTTGGGCTTCCCTGGGTAAAATCTTGTGAAATTTTGTGTGGTGGCTGAAGAAAATAACTTACATTAAAAATGTTGAACATTCTGAAGGCTGTCTTTAAGCCTTGTGAATACTAGTGTTAGCTGGTACAATGTTGACATTAGTTTGTGTCTCAGTTCTTGGTGTAAAATAAGATTTAGTCCTGCTTGGCCTCATGGGCTGTTAGGAAGATAAATCTGTTAGTATTTGTAAAACACCACTAATCTAAGTGGCAGTTTAAAAGCTGATGAAGAAGTTGGTACTTCTGTGTTCAAAAGAGCTAAGACTTGGCTGGAGTGCAGGAATTAGTGAATAAGCAGTACACAGCCTGTCTCTGCGTTGAAGTCCATATCTGTAACTGCATTTTATGTAGATTTATCTTACCTTATTTGAAGCTGATTAGCATAGGAATGGGCTTTTGGTGCATACATAGAAGAGAAGATTCAGCCTGTATTACAAAACCAATACTAGTCTGTGGAAATTACTTCTATGTGGGGGTTCGGGTCTGCCTTGATGTGGTTGTGTGTTTATCAGTATCAGATGAAGGTGTATTAGAACTAGCTCAGACATGTGCCTTTGACTTGCAGTTGTGTTACAGGTTTTCAGAAGGCAGCATTTCTTATCTGTTTATCAAATGATGTCCATTTGGTGCAGTGAGACTGAACTGCCTTAGAGGAAAATCATGTGAACTTCCAGACTTTGCCCTAATGTGTTGGCCAGGGGAGGGATTGATAGTTGCATGCAGAACCTGGTTGGGGATATTTTCTGATTTTTGGGAGGTTGAATCTGCAGGATTAATGACATACTAGCACAGTGTTTAGGAGCAAAGTAGCTTCTAACTAGTTATCCATTTCATATGGATGTAGCATCTGAGAGGTGATGTTTTATCTAGGTTTTTCTGTGCTCTTAGGACTAAACACCAGAAACAAATGTTTCGGGTCACCAGGAGTGCAACGGTGTAGTTGGCAATTCTTGTCTGGAGATCCTTTCAGCTATACTTATTTGATTAAATGTGTGGATGGGTCTTTAGTGTTTGTCTTAGGTACTTTCATGTGTTCCCTCATAACTCCACTTTAAGTTAGGAAGGTATATTTTTCAGATGGAAACTGTAGGACAGTTCTAGGCCTGAGATCTCTTGCAGTCATAGATGGGTGTTCAAAACAATGCTCTGACCCTCCTTTCAGCTCATTTTGAGGAGGTATATGTATGTGGTTAGTCTTGTGGTTAGGTTATTTCAGGGTTTAGACGTTAATAGTTGCTTTTTGTCACACTATAAGTTTTTCTTTTTACTTATGTCTCATGAATCTTGTTCTATTTTCAGATGTGGTGAAGAGCCTGCATTTTCCCCTGTGTGGTATATAGTGCCTTAAAAATGGGGTTTGGAGGTGATCTGAAGTATTCTCATGATGCTTTATTAAAACTGCAAGACTGGGAACTGCGACTGCTGGAAACAGTGAAGAAATTTATGGCTATGCGAGTCAAAAGTGATAAAGAGTATGCCTCTACTTTACAGAATCTTTGTAATCAAGTCGATAAAGAGAACACGTGTCAGTTGGATTATATCAGCAATGTGTCCAAGGTAAGACTGAAATATTTTGAATTTGGGATATCCTTGGAAATATCAGTTCTGGTTTTACTTTTGTTTGAGTTATTTTGGATTAGATTCCTGTTCATTCAGCTTATTGAGAGTTAACGTTGCCAAAGTGTTTAAAATCCTTTTAGTTCCTTAGTGGGATATGCAAAAGTTGAGAACCAGTCTTACTTCAAAAATCATAACAAAACTGGAATCAATCCTGATTTCTGAAATGCTGTATTTTAGGTTCCTGCTACTTTGTTTAGTGTTTTGACAATAAAGTATACAAAAGCTTACTAGAATAAGCTTTTCTCTAAAGACAGTTAAATAGGAACTATTGTTTATGTTATATAGAATTTGTGGCAGAAATAGAAAAATGCCAGGAAGCTGGGCCAAAGCCTAGCATTCCAGCTCTTATTCACACCACAAGGGATGTTGTAAGCACAAAACATTAATTCAGGATGCTTCTCATAATTGTGAAGTTGTTTTACACCCAATTTAACATGACTGTTGACTTTTTATGAAGTTAACACTGTCCTTTCCCCAAATCATTAATTTTCAGATTTAGAGCAAGTCCAGTAATGGTGCTGATGAAGCAAACTTCCCTGTTTCACCTGTTTGTACACTTCAGTCCTGACTTGGATTCCTTCCTGACTGAATAAAACTGTTCTGTTTTAATGGCTTATTCTATTCTTGGCTCATCTGCTGTAGCAGTGGTTACACAGTCTCTTCACTCTGACATGAATCCTGATCTCATCTCTGCAGGAAAACACTCTTAGGGTTAAGTTATATTTTAGACAACGCAGTTTTTATGTAGTGGGCTTATGGGGTGGTTGCTTGAGGCATAGCATTTGGAGCATGAGTGGTCCTCTTGCAGCAGTCCGGATTTATACTGGATGAAAGTGATGATGTATGTGATTTGAAAGCTACGCTCCTATGGTTAGCCTGCTTCAGCTGCCTCAAAAGTATCACTGCGCAGTGTTTATAACAAATTCTGTTGCTTCCTTCCACTCCCATAAATGTTGTCTTGTAAATTGACATTCTGTCTTTTTTTTAGTCTCTGTGTTTTGATGGTGTATTTGAAATGCTTTTCACTCAATTAGTTTGTTATGAATTTTGTTATTTAAATTGTGATTATTTTGGTAAATAAGCCAATGGCAATGCTTTAATGTTTAAGATTTGCAGAAGTCAGGCATTTTCATCAAGCTTTCTACTGCTGGATCCCAAAGTTTTGTATAGACTTATTGGTGATATGACTAATAATTCCTGATATTGCTGGCCTACTAGAATTGCTTTTATGTAATAGGTAGACTGTCTTGCAATTCTTTTAGGTGATGAAACAGAGCAGATTAGGGTTAGAGCAGTAAAGGAGCATTGGCATCAGGATATTTAGCATTACAAGTTACAAGCAACCCTTAACCTTCATGTAGCTAGTTCAGTTGAGAATGGTTCATGTCAGTGACATTAGCACTTCCCATGAGCAAATAAATTTTAAGAAGCTTGAGATCAGTTCTTTTTTGAGTTGGAGAGAGGCACATGTATCACATTTTGAAATCTCATTTTGGACTCAAATTGTTCTTTCAGGATTTTTTTTTGTTTCTTTTTTTCTTTTCTTCCCCCCCTCATAAGGAGGTGTCACTTTTCTGTCAAGCCCCATCCCTAATCTCTACATCTTTATGTAACAGCAAAAATATTCATCTGCTGCTGACGGATTTTTTAAATGGGCTTGGCTTGAAACTTCACTGTCACTGGATTTTAAAGTTGTGTAGTGACATGTTGTCATATTAGTTTTGACAGTTAAAATGTCTGAATTATTGTATGATCACTTAATTCCTAAGATCCTAAGATTTAAAATTTCTGTATATTAAATTTTTGATATAACATGGCATCAAAATCAAATACTGAACTGTCTAATCTTTTGTCTTTTTTTTTTTTAAAATACATCCACAGCAAGAGCAAGCACTTTGAGAAACACAGTGTTTGGGAAAATCTGTCCTATGGTTTTTTTCTTGCAGAGGCAGCAAACTTGCTGAAAGGCATAGTGGCAGCAACCACTAATGCTAGAAAAGCAGTGTTTTTAAGTGCTTCCCAAGAGCTCTTTTGTGTGCATATATGTCTAAAAATTACTGTTAAACCAAACAATGATATATTTTACTGCTTTTGATGGATTGTGGTTATTGTCTGTGAAAGGAAATACTTTGCCTTCTGTGCTCTCCCCACCTAGCTATTGATATAAATCTCAAATTTTGAAGCCTTTCCTTAAGTATAGCTTTTCTCTTTAGCTTTTCCTATTTTAAAATAATTAAAAAATAATCATAAAACCCACAGAAATCCTTTTCAGTGGATTGAGGGATGTGCAGATGATTTTTTATTAAATTGAAAGGGAACTTTTCACTATGTTTCTGACTTATTTGGGTTCATTTGGTGAATTGTAAGCTAAATATTTCTTTAGAGTACTTGTCCTGTTGAATGCTTTTGCTGTGATTTTCAGGTTTGATTAAAACAGTACTTGTCCCATCAGTAATAAATCAACCTTAAAGAAAATTGAGAACTCTTGACTATATTTTCACCTCTGAGAGAGCCCTTGTGAACTCTTCTGTAACAAGAACCACTGCTCTCAGACAGTTGTTTAGTGATGTTTTTATCCTGTGCAGCTTTGCAATATGGCTTCTGATGTCATTTGGCAAGTGTTTTGTAATGGAGAGGTGAAACAGTTTTCAGCCATAGCCTGGAAGTTTTAGGCTGTGACCTTTTACAGGACCACACTGAATAGTTCTGTGCCAGTCTGTGAGATGTTTATGAGCTAAAGGAAATGTTAAAGATGGTTTAATATATACAGGAGTTAACTGTCTTGTTTCCTTCTCTAGAATCCAGCTTGCATTGCAGCATTGTCATGTAGAGATGGAAATACTATGTATATTTGTTTATATATGAAATGTAAGGAAACCCCAAAGCTACCAAACGACTTAGTGTTCTAAGTTTTGATGATCTAAGTTGGATTTCTGTCTTTAGTAAGAGTAAGATAAATGCTAGTAAAACTAGCATACTAGCTGCCCTCAAAATCTGATAATTGTATGGCATGTAGCCATTCTGAAATTTTAGATATAGCATAGCACTCAATGTCAGGGAGTTATCTTAAGGGAATCCAATACTGTTCCCATCAGTGAAGTGGGACAGAAATCTTTAGAGTAATGAATACTTTTATTTGAATAGAACTGTAATGTAAAGTTCTTATTTGTGATGCATTGGAAGTTTTTCTGCTCACCTTACAGTTCTTAAACAAACTTCAAAGCCACAGCACATTAAGTTTTCCTGAAAACTGACAAAATGGCCAAGAAGGTTATTGGAGCATAGAAAGATGCTGGGTTACTGTGACAAGACAACTAACTGCTTGTGTCTCTTAACCTGTTAGCACCCTGTGCTTTGATACTGATGGTCTGACCCCGATGCTGGCAGTTATGTGAAGCAGCTGATGAATTCTCTTAAACAGTAACCACTCAAATGCATATTATTGTGTGGTATTTATACGAGGGGAGAGAAGTCAGCTTGAACAGAGTATCTGTGGCTGGGAAATGGGAACAAAGGACACAGGGACATGCTTGTTGAATGTCAACATGCTTGTTGAAAGGTTGGACTAGATGATCCTTGTGGTCCCTTCCAACTTAGTATTCTATGATTCTGTGTATGTCAGGGTTGTCATCCAAAAAAGGCAGTGAAACTTTCGCTGATGTTGGAAGTACTAGGACAGTGCTGAAGGGTGACCATATAATATTGTCTTTTTATCTCTGGTGCTTTTTTTATGGTTTTATGAGTAAGTTTGAGGCATCATTTTGCTGTAGCATGAAGAACTTTATTTTGGAAGATCGCAAGTGCACTTGGGTAAGTTTAAAATTATTTTTTTACTGAATTGTTTTAAGCAGTGATGCATCTTTTTCCCACAGTTCATGGTCATTGTTTGGTTATTTGTAAACCATAATAAGTAAGTGCTTTTTTGTTTTGACTTTTTTTTTATAGTCTTGGTTGCTTGTGGTACAGCAAACAGAACAGCTGAGCAAAATAATGAAGACACATGCAGAGGATCTTAATTCTGGGCCTTTGCATAGGCTTACAATGATGATCAAAGATAAGCAGCAAGTTAAGAAGAGTTACGTAGGTGTTCATCAGCAAATTGAAGCAGAGATGTACAAGGTATTTTATTCAACTGTGCTTTATAAATTTATTATAGTTTTGTATATTTAAAAAGTAATATATTGAGAGTAGATTATTTTAGTTCTACTGTTTATATTTGTGCTATGATAAAAGTAGGAATTTACGATATGTAGAATGCCTCATTTAAATTTTAGTTATTTCTTCCACATTTTCTCTCCACTGCTAGCTGACAGGGCAGAGATAGAAAACTTTTTTCTACATAAATTTGTACAGATGCTCTTGTTCCAGTAAAGTATAATTCTTTGTGACACTTTTCTATTCCATCTTTTTTACTGTTTTCATTCCACTCTTGACATCCCTGGGATTAGGACAACATTCTTGTCCCTGTTTTAAAATACACATCAAGAGTAAACCAAACATTAAGGCTGCAGATGGAGCTTTTCAGGGCCTTTTCTATTACATATCAGTTGTCCTACTTATATTGAAAGCACTGTATCTAGTCAGTAAAGCTGTCAGAAATCACAGTTTCATTCAGGTGCTCTGTGAAAAGTTTAACGTCAAATACAAAAAATCAGGTTGATACCCTCAAAGGTCTATTGAGAGAAGGAAGAGCACTGTTTCTTCTAGCAGAGAATTTGACATCTGTAGTAGCATAATTAAAATGAGGCATCTGAGTGCTACAGTACAAATGTCATGGACTGATAAGTAAAAGATTCTTGTGCTGGTTATGAGAAGAACTAGTACTAAATGTATATTAAGTTAAGTATGTTTGCTCTAACAAAAGAGCTTACATAATATACTGGGATCTTGGCATCTACCCCAGGTATTGACTAAGTGGAGTGCATACTTTTTGATGTATGATCAGTAGATTATCTTATCTTAAATTGCCAAGCCAAATAATCACTCACAGCCAGTTATAGATTGGTGTGTCTGAAAATAGGATTGAAGAAGAGGAAAAACTGGTAGCACATGTTATAAATAACAGACGTTAAATACATAGAGAATTGGAGAAATGGAAAAGGAAAGGAAAAAATTAAGAAAGAGATGAAACAAGACTGCTGAAACTTCAGGTATATTTTTGAAAGAAACTGTGCAGAACATGTTTTTTTTTCTGTTAATATGTTAACTCGAATAAAATCTCTAATAAATCTGTCTTTTAAAATAAGGCTTTTTCACCAAAATATAGTACACATTGAGAACTCCCCAAATGTTTAATTATAAACCATATCAATTTTAATTAATTATGGGCTCCATGGCCATCCAAATATTTTGCATCCTGATGAATAAGCTTGCCTTGTTGTGTTGTGTTGTGTTGTTTTGTTTTGTTTTCCCTGTCCTGATTTTCCTAAGAAGCATCTGAATAACATTCTGGTTAAATATGGTATGCTCTTTCATTGTTAGCTGACGTTGTTTGTTCAAAGGTTTTCTGTTACTGGGGGACTTACAGAATGGTTCCCAGAAATTCAAAATACTTCTCATGTTCTGTGGTATTATTTCTGATTTTGTTCCACAGAGAAGCAAAATACTTATTTCCCAGGACATTATCCAAACCTTGGATCAGTGTCTGTGCAGTTCATAATCTTTAGGATACGCTGTCAAAAAGATACGTTTTTGTTTTCCTTTAGGTAGAATGCATATTATTCTAGTCACTTCTATGATGAAGAGTCTTTTTGACAGAATTCTTAAAGATAGTGAGTTACAATGTCTTCTACACAAATATAGTAAAACTTGTATCTTGTAGATTTATCCCAGTTCCCATTGAGTTATTGGATATTTTTTATTTCTTCGTGAAATTTGAGGAGAAAAAGTAGAGTACTGTGCTAGTTAGGTGAGCAAGACTTTGATGTAAAAGCTGGATTTAAGATAATCCTTGACCATCTTGGTTCCTTCAGTGTTATTTGAGGGTAGAGGTGCTCTTTTTATTGGTTTTGTCTGTTGGAAGATCATGGTTTAAGAATTAGTAAAGTATATTTTGCAATTATTACTAAGGCTTCTTAGTACAAATGACCTACTTTTTATTTTTCAATTTTCTGTAAGAGAAGCAGTACCTTTTTATTTATGCATTATAATTATGTTCACTACTTCCTAATTTCATCATCATCTCCATTTCTTAAGGTGTTTTTATAACACGAGTTTGTAATGAAGTTATTTTTTTTTCTATACCACCTCTATTAGTGTATAATATCAACAGTTGTAAGTGTAATTAACAGTGTATGGAAATACAAGATAAGAATATGGGACTGATGCGGAGTAATGTTCCTGCCTTTAACTCTTTGCACAGTATGCCCAGAAAGAGAAACTGTAGATAGCACCTTGTTGGCTCTTTGAGGAATTGCATTAATTTTCCAGATGTTGTTCTTAAGAGTGAAAGTAGTCGTATCGAGTCCTTGCCTCATGAGAAAAAGAGGAATTGTGACCTCCAGCTTTCTTCATGCCACCTCCAAGGGTGCCAGTTTTTCTGAAGAATTGACTTCCTTTCCTGCACATTCAGTGAGGGAAGGACTACCACTAGATTAAGTTCCTCTGTGATTTCCGATTGTGAGCATATTTTTCTTTTTGTCAGTTTTTACTTTTATTTAGCATATATGCCACCTTTTCGATATTGTAGTGGCTGGTTTGTTAGTAGCTTTTCATTGGAACTTAATTATGATTATTTCTGAACAGTGCACTAATTTTGTCACACAGACAATGGAAGTTGGGGATAGAAGAGAGAGCTGTATTGTATTTTTTTGACAAAAAATGTTATGTTCAGTGGAACATGAACTGCAAAAAGATTCGTCAGTGCTGTCTTCCACCATAGTTTGTTTTTTGGAGGTTTAGGGTTTTGGGGTTTTTTGCTTTGTTTTGTTTGGGGTTTTTGTTTGTTTCTTTTCCTTTTTAGGAATTTAAGTCATACAACAAATAGATTGGTTCATGCATAGTTGCCTTTTCTGTGCCATTTGTACAAACTGTAATATCTAAAAACTCTTTTATCTTACATTTCTTTTTTCGATGTAAAGATGTTCTTTTTCATAGAACTTTTTCATCTAGTATGATTTAATATGTATCTTTTAGGTGCTTTTTTTCCTTGCCACTGACATGGAATAGTGTTTATGATAAGCTGGATTTCCTAAACATCTTTTTCATTATGCTGATATGGATGGGGATCTCTGTTTCAGGCCTCTTCATTCTGTGCATTTGTTGATTTTGATTTTGTTACACCATGTAATATCCTATTAATATCTCAAGCCAATGGCAAGTTGTAAAATCCTTACTTTGGAAAATAAATCCTGTTAATTCTCTTTCACTGATGCTATAACTATTTTTATGTGTTGAGGATAAGTATTTGTAATACTTCTTATATTTCTGTTTTCTTAAAGGTCACAAAGACAGAACTAGAGAAACTAAAATCTAACTATAGACAACTAATAAAAGAAGTAAATTCT